CAAGTGCATAACTAGGCAAGTTCTGAGTAAATTACAACTGACAGTTTCAAGGACGTCCAGAAAACAAAAGTAAAACTCAATTCACATGCCTCAAAAGCCTAGTATAATGACGGAATAACTGCCACAAAAACTATAATGTAAAATTGTATAAACCAAATGATAGGAAAGAAATAGAGACATGAGGTACTTTTTCACACACGTCAGCTTCTCTCCTATCACATGGCAACAGCGACAAGCAGCGCACCAACCCAAAAAGAGCAGTCTTGAGCTTCCCCTTTTCCTGTAAATAGAACTTGTTCTTCCGCAAAATATCCTCATAGTTTTGAAGAATCTGCAGACAAACCAACCGATTAAAAATGTTTCAGACATAAACAAGATAATATTTCAAGAAAACAACAAATGTAATACGATAAGCAGAACATGTCAATTCCAACAAAATTTCAAAAATTTTGAAAGGAAATAAGTAGAAATAGAATATGAAATACCTTTTCAGCGTACAGAAAAAAGGAATTTGGATAGTACTGGACAACAAGGTCAAAAAATTTAAAAGCCATCAACCTAACTTCAATTGCTAAATGCGTCATTGCACTAAAAATGTAGGCCGTCAACAAGGAGATGAAAACCCCTAGATTATCCTGGACAATTGAAGCAAGACTGCATATCATAATCAAAATAAACCAATGATGATTAAAGATAGTAAATTTAGAAAATAAAGGGTGGATAATGTCGAAAATGTGTGATAGGAGGAATACTTTTCAGTACCAATACAGAAGCATGCATTTATAAATTTCATGTTTTGCGGGTCAATTTGTTCTTGTTTTGGTGATGGGGAGGACTCATTGTTCTTTCTTATTGTACTGGTTTTGATTTCAACAAATTTTTATTTCCTATCTATATATATTGGCACTTATACCAGGAGAACAAAAAACTTACCTCTTTACAGTCGGGGAAAATCACTGACTTAAAAAGTTGATATAGAGTCTCCCTAACCACTTTATCATCATCACCAATACGTTCACGTAGTTTTTCAATAACGGCATACTTGTGCAAGGTCAGCTCTGCTGGATGTTTAAGTAACAAACCCCGAATACCCACCAATGCATCTTCAAAGAAACAAACAGGAATGAAATATATATATATATATATATGTATGTGTGTGTGTGTGTGTGTGTGGAAGCTAAAACTCTAGAAAATAAAAAAGAAAAAACCAAGGATAAGAGCATTGCAGTAACTCCTCCACATAGAATGCATAGGGAAGATGATTAGCAATGTAAGCGTCTTTTGAAGATGAAAAAAAAAATTAGCAACTGTTTTATAGCATTAAAATGCAGGAAGTGTTGCCATAAAAACAGGAGTATTTGCCCCTGAAGTGGCACACCAACACCAGTACGTATCAAAAAGTTTTCTCTTATGATTTTTTTGGCTGCTGAACAGAAAGTAAGATTTTGAAAGAGCATTCTACGTTGCTTCGGTTTTTTGAAACCTTCCTGGTCAAATCACTCTCTTTTTTTATAAATTGCCTAGGAAGACACTCTTATTTCCTAAACTTACAAAAGGAGCATAGCTTCACAAAATACCATTAACTATACCAATTGCTACAACATTTAAAACAAAAGAATAAAATACCTTTACGAACTTTCGCATTGTGATGTGATGTTTGCTGAAGAAGTTCCTTCAAAGTCAAACCTTTCTTGTTCACTGCTAGTCCAGCCTTCTCTGATGCCACACTCTGCTCAGGAAGAATTATTGCTGCACATAAACCAATATCAAATCCGAATTAACATTCCGATTTCACTACGAAATTTCTACACTTCAAAACATAAAAACCAGAACGCCTCATTCATATCGAACAGAAATAAACAAACCAAGAAAATTCGTCTTCCTAGTTCTCCGACTATTATCAATCATGACAAGAAAACACAATTCCTATCATCAAATTCTCCCAAATAACTAGATAGTGAAAAAAAAAGAGAGAAGAAAATACAGACTCCAGTTATCAATACCTTTGGACTTAATTTCAGTATTTGTAGCATTCTTAGGAGGCGGCAATTTCCTGCCAATCTTTCGCTTTATTTTCTGCCATAAATCAAAATACATGAATCAACTCTCTATATAGCTTAACAAAATAAAGTATATAAATCTGAGCTTATTCGTTAGTTCATTACTTTGAAATCAACTCCTCGCTTCTGCTGCTTCTTGGAAGCCTTCGAAGGCGCCATATACCCTACAAACTAAAGCAAAAAAATCAAGCGATAATTACAATTCCCAAACCAAAATGCTCGTAAACCATCAAATAAGCTGTACTAACTTCGCAAAATAATCACGTATAAACAGTATAAACCAGAGCTTTTTTCGGTGATTATGAAAGGCTAAAAGCAACAAATTCTTTTCTGTGCAGTCAAAACGGAGCTGGAGATAGGTAAGAGGGAGAAATAGGCACCCACAGAGAGTGTTATTAGATGCTTTTTCTTTCCTCATGTAAATTTTCTACGCAACCAAACAGAGAAAGCTCGTACGCGCTTCTCGCCGGAAGGTTGGGGAAGAAAACAAGAGCGGTTAAGTTATACTAAGGGGGCATTTGGTACACAGTAATCAGTAGGAATCATATTCCTAGGAAAGTGATGAGAGGTAATATGATTCCTAGAAATAATACATTACTGTGTTTGGTTCCATACATGAATCTTTTTTCAAATTCCCAAGAATATTACATTAATGTGTTTGGTTGTGCATGAGAATATTGTGTATTAAAAAAAACATATATATATATATTTAAATGAATTACAATTAGCACTAATATTTTAAAAAGTATAAAATATTTTTAAAATATTTAGCCCATAACATTAGCACTAATATTTTAAAAAGCATAAAATACAACACAACAAGTAGTCCATAAAATTATCAAATAATAGGGGGGGGCTCAAAATGTTAGCTAAAATCCTCTATACTCAACAGTTCTTACAAAAGTTCTAAATATGAGAACATATCCTCGAATAAGGTTCCAAACCTGAAATTAAAAGTTGTAAATCTAGGACCACATATAAAAGTTCCAAAGATGCCATCAAAAGATCTAAATATTGGACCATATAGTCAAGTTTGTAAATATAGCACCAAAAGCTTCAACCTAACTCATTCCAAAAGAGACAGAAGAAAATCTAACTTAAATTCATCATCCAACGTGAAGAAATAGTTGGTGTAGTCATGGTTTTGGACAAGAAGTTTTCTGATTCATATTAGTTGTGCATTTGTTAGTCCTTCTACCTTCTTCACTTCATCAAACACCTGCATCCTCCTTGTAGCACTATCAGCCTCATATTGAAAGCAATTAGCAAGCCTACCAATATTCTCACCAACCATAGCATACATATTAGAAAACTTCTGTACTGTCTCAATTAAAGCATCAACCAATACATCTCCACTTTGAGATCTCTTTCTCTTTTTCCTTCCTGATGCTAATGGTGTTGAAGTTGATTGTGTGCTAGGACCACCAATACTTGCAGTATCCATGTGCTCACAACAACAATGTCATACATATTTATTAAGAATCACAACAACAATGTCATACATATTTATTATGAATCACAACACCAATGTCATACATATTGTTTCACCCGAGCGTGCAAATAGGCAATTCATAATCCTATTTTTTTTATCATGAGCTAATATATGTAGGAATATAGCTACCAATTCTTCAACATCCATATTTTTTGTTCCCCTCAAATTGCCAATGGTTCTAAGGTAGTTACATAGGATAGCAAATGTTATCCTATCCATATGGGTGCTTTCAAGACATGCCAAGTCACTCTCATTTATCAATTGAAGGTAATTTAGTTGGCGTATATGATGTCGGCGATAAAAACTCTCACCCCATCTATTTCTACGCAAACGTCTCTTACTAATAATTACAAATATCATAAGAATAAATAAAAATGTCATTTCATTTAACATCTCCATATATTGAACCAAAATAGCCACAATTCTTTTTTTTTTGTTGTTCCAATGGAAGAAGATCCATATCTGCTCATTGATGAGAAAAAAAGAAATAAGCATACTGATTATAAAGTTCAATTCATCCAAGAAGAAGAGAAACTGCTAAATATACAATATATTTCGGAAGTAAAAGCAGGCTATTTGAAACTAACAAATTATCATCTAAAAAGCAGTGAGGCAACATAAGTGGAAGCATTTTACAGTAACAGTTCTAAAATTTGAAGACTTGACAAATGCTTTCCCAAAGAAAGAAAGAAAGAAGGAAATTTGTAAGATTCAATAAGTACTCAGTCTAGACAGCATGTACTAAAACCAAGCTCCATTAGATAATTGCAATACTCGTTATGCATTCTTCCTAACGTACTCATCTATCTCATTTAAATTCCCTATCCAAAAAGGGGGAAGAGAAACAATGACAAAAGCAATAAAACAAATGGAGCAAAATTCATAACAATCCCAAAACGATGCAAATATAATTCAACTACATGAAAATGTTCTAAAATAAAGTATATATAACACCTAACCTACAAATTACAAAACATGTACAAATCACAGCGCAAGGAAATCATTTCCAAAAATTCCGGAAGAAAAATTTTCAAGTCGAGCTTGAAATCCTCGAATAATTATTTCTCTAGTTTGATAAGCTTGAAATCTCAGCCTTGTGGGATTCTATGCGTAAAAAAAAAACAAGAAGAAAGGAATCATACTCTGATGGTGCGGCAGATGAAAGTCCGGCAACGGCGTGGTGGATCGGAAGGTGGCGGCGGCAACGAGCGGTGCCAGCTGCTAGACGAGAGAGAGGCGGCTGGGTCTGGGAAGAGATGGGCGAGAGACAGGTCAGGGCTACGTCCGGCGACGGCGTTTTGATATGCAGACAGACCCAGAATGATTTTAGAGCCCATGAGCCCAAGCCCAAACGCAAACATAAACATGCTTTAGCCAAAACGCTGCGTTTTGATATGCAGACAGACCCAGAGTGATTTTAGAGGCAGTCGTGGAAAACAGAGAGAGAGAGAGAGAGAGAGAGAGAGAGAGAGAAGAGAGCGAGAGATTGCAATGCAGCAACAGCAGCAAAATCCGGCGGCGACGGCGGCAATCCAAAACGTCGCCGTTCAGTCGAACTCCGCCGGCGGTTCGTCGACGGCGGAGGCGCCACCGAAGCAGGTGGCGCTTGCAATGGACAGGCTGTCGCACGCGGCACGGCTGATCGCCGACATCCGGCTCGGCGCCGATCGCCTCCTCGAAGCTCTCTTCGTCGCCGCCCAGCCTCACCAGAGCAACAAGCCGGTCAAGCTGTTCCCGAACGAAGACGCCTCCATGCGCCAGCATCTCCAAGACCTCCGCTCAATCGGTAACTCAATAAGCTCAGAGTCTCTCTTTCTCTTCTTAGGGCACGATTCTCGAATCGGCTTGTCGAACTCCAGTTGAAATTTGAGTGCTTTGTCGACCGTTTTATGATTTTGATTAGGTAAGCAGTTGGAGGAATCTGGAGTTCTGAGCGAATCTCTTCGGTCGCGGAGCAATTCGTGGGGACTGCATATGCCGTTGGTTTGCCCCGATGGCGCTGTGGTCGCCTACGCTTGGAAGCGCCAACTGGCCGGTCAGGCCGGCGCCTCTGCCGTCGATAGGACCAGGTTGGTTTCTACAACTTTAGGGTTATTTTTTTATTCGCATTTTATTGTTTAATATGTGAGCTTTGATAGATTGAGAATATTAAGAACTATATGCTCCGAAGTCCGAACAGTTGACGAAAGGAGAGAAAAACTTTACAATTTGAAAGACTCGATTTTTTTTTTTTTTTTTGGTCATGGACTAAGCTCTAAGTCAGATCTTTGTCCAACAAGTTTGTGTTAAAGTTGAACGTTTGAGCTTTGATAAATTGGGAATTGCAAGATTGATATTCTAATAGATTGCATTGTGTGTTATCACTTATTAGGAGAATCATATGTTTGACTGGTTAACTTAACCTAAGAACGAGAAAAAAAGTTTTTCCGAAAAATTTGCTTGTTTTCATGGATCATGATGCTCTGAGTGGAGCTTTTTCGAACAAGTTCTAGTATTTTAACAGGAGGGAAAGGTTAGCGGGAACTGATTTCAGTTTCGTTGATTCTTTTGATGTTTAAAGATTGGCTCTCAAGGCCTTCACGGATCAGAAAAGGCGTTTTTTTCCCCACCTTGATGAGGATCTGAATGGTCAGGATTCTGAGCCAAATGTGAAGAAACATCGTAGCCTGCAAGTAGTTAGAGAAACTCGTGAAGAGGATCTTAGTGATTGTAAAACACTTTTGGATGTTCTAACGCGCTTGGAAAAAGAAGTGCCCAATGTGAAAATTGTAACCTATGAACGGCTGGACTGGTCGAAAAGAGCTTCTTCACTGCCGTCTTCAGCAAACGAGAATCCGATGGAAGCACTAAAGGAACACAATTTTCATACTTCAAATAGAATGAAACCAGTTTCTCTTGGAAATGCTGCTCCAGATAAAGCCGCTGTAATTGAGTTGTTCTTTCCTTCCATCTTCAGAGCTATAGTATCTTTGCATCCGGCTGGCTCTATTGATCCGGATGCTGTAGCATTCTTTTCTCCTGATGAGGTATCGTTGTTTATCAGTATGCGTAACCATACTTATTTTCAATCTTTTGCTTTGGTTTTTTGCCACTAGAATTAATTCTTGTAACTCATGTTAAGGTAACCATTGTAGTTTATCCCTGATGGATAATGTTAGGAACCTGGTAAATCTCAGCCAAGCGGCCCCAAAATACATACACACAAGCAGAAATCAACGAGAGTAATGGATGGAATCAGGGATTTTATTGATCAAACACCAACTAAACTCAGATTACACAAGAACAACAGAAAATCAAAGGGATAATTCCGGAGTTTTTGAGTACTCCGGGACTCCAAGCCACTGTCGGCAACAAAACACCAGAAAATCAGCAAATACGACCTAAACCCACCCTACCAGACCCTATCCAACAAAATACTCCCTGATTCTAACATGTTTTGCCACGTCACACCCCTAGCCACTTTCAGAAATTACTCTTTGGCCCCGAATTCTATGTTTCCTGCCACGTTTGCCCCTTCTAGTATAAACCAGCCTAAGTTAGGGTCTAACAGATAATTGAATAGTTAGATTGCCTATCCAGTAAATTGTGCAAGTCCAGCTTTAAAATGTAGCTTCCATTTCTACGTTCTTTTCTGTGAGTATAGTTTTTGTTCAGTTATCATAAACCCTTTATCCTTGAGCATTCTTTGCTCTAACGTGCTGTATTCATTGACTTTTCAACAGGGAGGCAGCTATATGCATGCAAGAGGAGTTTCAGTTTATCATGTCTTCAAACATATTACGGTAATATCTTTGTTTTTTTTTTTTTTTTTCATTTTTGTTTGTTCTACTAGTTCTAGTGGTCAAAGCTTTCTAAGTGTTAATAATTTGCTGTCGCAGGAACATGCTGTGATGGCTTTGCAATCTTTTCTTGGAGTTGAAGTTGAAACAGCTTTATATTCCCTTTTGGTACCAAGTTGGCCTAATCTGAGCATTTATCTCCATTTTCATTTCTCTAGTTCATATATCCTTAAGTCTTTTGACTCTCTCTTTTTGTTTTATCTTAGCATTGGATCTGCAGCTACCAAAATCTGTTCACCAAAGTTTGCAGGTTTTGACCGCACTTTTCAACCTTTTTTTAATTGTCTTAACTTATATTTTTGTTGTTACTAACATTCACTTGGTTGTTGATCCAGTAAATGTGGGCGACTCTTAGCTATGGATCGACAATTAGGTCTACTGTTACCTCCTATTTATCGCCCTTACCAGCAGTTCTCTGCGTTCAAAGTTTCATCTACGCAACCCAATACCTCAGTGAAGGATCAAAGTTCAAATCTTGCCAGGGCTTACCATATCGGATGTTTCTCAGAGGATACATAAGTTTTATGTAATTTATAGGTAAGCTCTTTGTCTCTGTAGCTGAGAAATCAGAGTGGATCACACTAACTAGTGTCTTCAAAATTTTCGATCGAAATTATCTGTTGAGGTTTTCTTTTTCCTCTGATCCTCTCTTTACTCTTTCTTATCTTTTTTGGTTTTTATTCTTTCACTTATACCTGATGTCAATATGTTAGATACCTTATATTAGTGAAATGTGATTTTCCAAAGGGCTTCTCATCCCCACCATGTTAACATGGTTAATCATTGGTCTAGAACCCCACTAATCATAGAAAACTGTGACTACTCCCTGGTTTTATTTTTCTTTTCAGGCTATGGATGCTAAAATTTGCCAGCATGTCTTCGTTTTATTTCAGGTATTATCTGTTTGCTCGCAGAAACATTGCCACGCCACTTCAAATTGCATGTGTGATGTCGAGCGTAGGCATTGCTTGCAGACAAACGTTGAACCCTGTACACAACTTTCATCTCTTTTTTTGAACTTGGGAGTGGGGGAATTCGAATTCTTCACCTTATAGTGGAGTCGGGTGTAGAATTACCGCTAAGCTATGTTAGCAACCACTACACAATTTTCATCTATAATTCCTTTTTTACTTGACACATATTGATGATCCATGACCATCAAATGTTTCCCGCTAACAGATGGCAGCTATGAGATTTGTATTTTGCTTTTTCGTTTTAGAGGATTTTGTACTTTTACTTTTTGAGATTCTCCTCTGTAATTTTTACCGAAAACTAATTTTGTACCTGATCACAATCTTTAGAGCTCTACTTTTATGTAGTGATTACTACAGTAGATTCAGAAAATTTGAGATAATTCATGCTTCATGAAGCCTAAAATTTCAACAATTACGTCACTTAGAATATTTTAATGACAATCATTTCTTTTCATTATTCAAGGAAACAGTACTTCCTAAAAAGTGAAGACATTATTTCCAGATCCATCGTGCAGGGGACGGAAGTCAAAATTTCACAGGCCGAGGTTCTTGTAACTGATTTGCTATCTCCAGATGCTAACCCAAGACAAAGACTTTTGGATATCTTTGGTTTTGCAATATTTTTCTTCAAGCCAAGTTGAGTTTATGCACCAATTTTTCATTTGTCTAATCCATTAGCTTACTGTATCTTTGAATTGTGAGAGTATTAACAAACAAATTGCTCATCAGTTTTGTCTCTAATTGAAATCAACTTTTCTTGGCTAATCATGGATGGTCGTTACGTGGCTCTAACATAATCTCTTCCTATTGTTTAATATATGAGGTATCATGAAGAACTTACTGAAAACTGAAAGATCTCTGAGGGATCGGTAAAAATATATTTTCAACTTTTTGTGCATCACGAGAGTTACTGAAAAAATTGTAAGTGTTGATGGTTAATTTTAGTCAACTAAAGATTAACTCTCCGAGAACACTCACAGTAATCTCTCACGGATTAATCAAGGATTATCGTTGAATGAAAAGATTAAGGAGACATAAATTTATAGTGGTTCGGTAAGAATTCTTTGTCTGCGTCCACTTGTGGATGCATTAATATTTTGTTGATTACAATCCTTCTGGAGTATTAGTATAGTGCGTAAAAAACTTAATGAATTCTCATGCCTCTATTTATAGGCCTTGTACATATGAGATACATTCTCTACATTTTTCGAGGAGATAATCTCTTTTCTCTAAATTCTAGGATTTGACAGTTGCGTTCCCATGATTTCAGCTTCCAGGTCAGGCTAACCACCCTTACCGGTTACTTGATTTTATGACCTGACCCTGGCAGTTGGTACAGTGTATCCTCCCTCGAGTTGACTGGATTTAGTTTGGATTGGACCGGGCTGCTCTTTCGACGTCGTGACCCTCACAACTCAGGTGGAGTCCTCGACACGTATCCTCCTGCACGAATCCTTGCCGTCTTGAGGGCATCGTAGGTTCGACCTTTTCTTCTACGTCAGCGACCGACTCTCAACTGGGATACCTCGGCACTTGTCAGTAAAAGGATCGGTCGATTCATCGACTGTGGTGTAACAATTACCCCTAGACTGGAATACCGTGTGGCGATGTTTCAGGCTATGCAGCGTCGAGAGTATCACGTGGCAACTTCTTCCCTGCAGATAGTGGCGGCTGCTTGTCGGTACAATGCCATCATTACAGTGAGTTTCTCGGGCAGTGGAGCAGTCTTGTCGATCATGTCAACAGTCACGTCTCCCATACCCTGGTGCCACATGGCAGTCGAGGGATGAGTTGCAGCCGTTCGATCAAATTCACATCCCCTGCTCTCTTCCCGACCGTTAGATCGCGTCTCTTCGGATTCACTGTTGGATGGAGTTGAATCGGATTCAACGGTCAAGATCTGAAGTCCTTTGGATTTCCCTTGGACCTCTGGGCTCCCACTTCGAGTATATATATACCCCCTCGGAGCACTTTTATGGCTGTTCATTTATAGGCCGCCGTTACTCTGCCGGATTTCCACTAGAAGTTCCCTTCTCTGACTTCGGCTTCCATGTACTTTCTCCATGTGTTGTTCACCTCCGTCTCCAAGTTTTCAAGCCTCCTCAAGAACTAGTAAATTTTTTTTTCGGTCCCCCTGCTTGATTCTAGAACTAATGCCTGCAAAAAGTAACTTGTTAAGGAGAAAAAATGCACTTACTTGGTGTTGTCGATCGTGAACCTGGGGCTGAGTCCACGTGGCATTGTCCATTTGGGTTCAGTTACTTTTGCTGGGGATCCTCAGGCTCATTTCTGGGTTCTGGAGACCCTTGCATGAGTTTTTCCCCATCTCCGTGTCCATGGGAATTTGGTGTTGTTAATCCCAGACTCTAGGGTCTTTATGATATGAACATGCTTCTGTTTCTTCTCAAACTTTGTTTCTAACCTCTCGACCATTAGGCACTAACTCGACCCCTTCTATATTTACTTTCAGAGCATGCCGCCCAAACAGGTTAGAAGTCGAGAGGTCTCCACTTCTAGGGTTAAGGATGACCTTGAAGAAGCTGCGACATCGAGCATGTCTTTGAGCGAAAGCGGGGATTCTCTACTCTACTAGGTGGACGAATATGCCGAGGGGTCAGTCTCGACCTCTCAGCCGGATGAGCTAATTCTCCTCGACGATGAGGACGATGGCCTACGGGCCGGCCTCGCTGCAGGACGTGGTTACGAGGTGGTGTCGACCAGTGGCATCTCGGGTATGGTGACAGACGTCAATCCATCAAAAATAAAGCCTCGGGTTGCCATGAAGGCGTTCCGTGATGCAGGGATTGACGCAAATAATTTTTATTTGATTATCCCGACCTCTAATGATAGGGTTCACAACTCCCCTGCCAATTTTTATTTGGTGACAGACCTCTAATGATAGTTTTGGGCAGACTCTGCCTTTTCACCCGTTCGTTAAGGCCCTTTGTGGCCTTCAAAGGATATCTCCCGCGTAACTGTCACCCAATTGTTGGGTGACAATAAACTCCATGATCATTTTTTGGAGAAAATTTTTGAACCTTGACATAAATGTCAAGGAATTTTTCTACGGCTATACCCTTAAGGGTTCCCCTGGGCAGAGAGGATTCTTTTACTTGTGCTCCCATTCCAAATCCAAACCACCAGTCCCCCCCTATTATTATTGATAAGACCTCCAGCTATCACGGGTGGAAGGCCCAATTATTTTTTCTTAGGGGCAACTTCAATTCTCACCCGCTCGACGGCGAGCGTCCCCTAGGAACGCAGACAATATTCAGCAAATATTGTAGGTCTTCATTTTATTGGATCCGCGTAGTATCTCTTCCACTCGTCGAGCTATCTCTTGCATACTTTGAACTTAATGTAGGTGAAATTTCTACTCGACTGAAGCTCTCTTCGGCTGCTCTAGCAAGGGTCGAGTAGGTCTTATCTCTTTTCGACTCCAGCCGCAGCTCTACCGTTCTCAATATCCTGGAGAACCGCCGGTTGTACGATCTGGTAGTTACTCTCGACCTTCCGCGCGAGCCTGTTGCCCCCCTTACGGATCTTCTGAGCGGTAAGCTGGACTTGTAGTTTAATTCACTATAGTCATCTCGAACATGATTTTTTTCTTTTGTATTGTCCAGTCGTGTCATCCACAATGAGCTATGTTCTCCCCAGCAAGTCAAAGAAGAGCAAGGGAGAGGCCTCCTCTAGGTCACCGGGTCACCGATGGCCTAAGCCACTCCAGCCCCCAGTGTCACTGAAGTTTCAGACCGGACGAGGTTTGTCATCACCCTCGCTCCTAAGAGACCGCGGGCGGACGAGCCGCAAGGCCCTTCGGCAGTCGAGGGATCATCTCGGTCATCTCGGTGTCTAGACAAGGGGAAGGGTGCCGAGGTTCCTACAAACCTGGAGGTTCCTCCTGCACCTAATAAGCCCCTCGTGATGCTGGGGTCGAAGATTAATGACCCCCAATTCCTAGTCTCGGATGTGATCGACCACAACCTCAACTAGGCTCTGCACCTCCCTTCTCGATTCAGTCTTCCCATCTAGGCCATCTACATACACTTTCACCAGGACTCCTGGGGCAAGTTTGCCGAGATGGGCCTTCTAGATCGCCAACGCGTCGCGATGATTCACCAAGTCTCGATATGTTTTGCTTGCTCACTCCTCGACCTTTATTCTCACATAGCTGATCTTCATGTCTTAACCATGCCCTTCATTTTTTGTTGTCCAGACTCTCGAAGCTATGCTTCTAAATTATGTGGAGCTCGAGACTTTACTAAAGCAAGGCACCCCGTCGAGGGCTGCTGAGGAGGAGCTTACAGCTCTGCGCGCTGCTCAGGCCGAGCTCTCCTTGGACTTGGATGCCGAGAATGCCAAGGTCCGATCCTTTGAGGAGAAAATCGACAGGGAGAAAAACGAGAGCTTCCAGAAAGGCTTCAAGGAAGGATGCTCTAAGGTGGCTGATACATACTTTTCCTCTCCCAACTTCCAACAAAAGAAGAGGGAAGTGGTCAAGGAATTCATGGCCTCCGGGGAGTTTCGCCGGTTGGTCGACGCTCAGTCAGAAACATTGTGGCTTAGGTCACTTTGTATCCCCTTGCTCTGTCGAGGCGTTTTTACCCCTGTTGTTTGAGGCTGGATTATACCTTTGCTCTGCTTGCACCTGAGGATTACCTCGGCGCTTATTGCCGTTGTTTTGATGGCTCGACTGTCCTACTTCTTCTTTGGTGGGGACCATTACCTTACTCTTTAAGGCCGTTTTGGCCTCTTCCGCATTAATGAATCCATGTGCCCTCGTCAGGAATTCTTAGTAAGTCTGTGGTGGCCTCCGGTCAAGGTCTGTGCTGTTCGGGATGCCCTTATTCAAGCTTGACAGGGCCCCCATCAAAGCCACCTCGTCAAAGATCCCCTCGGTGGCGGCCACCTGTTCTCCGAATCAGGCTATCCAATCTTTTAGGGACTCGTTTGGTCCCTATAAACCTTCGAAAGGTTTTGCTTGGGTGTGATGTACTTTTTGACACTTATGAACTGAGTCAGGAAGGCATTCTTCAAGTCATCCCAACTAGTAATGGAGTTTTGTTTTAAGGAACTGAACTGTCTCCTGACGGAGTCAGAAAGATGATTTCTGAATGCCCGGCACATGACCTCCTCGGGGTACCCGTGAAGGACCATGTGCCCTGTGTAGACCTCTAGGTGGTCATCTGGATCAGTCCTTCCATCATATAGCGGAATAGGGAGTGGCTTATACTTATCGGGCAACGGCACCTGAATGATGATCTCTGTGAATGTGTGATCGTGGGACGGGTACATCTTGGCGTCGACATTTACGGTCTCGGCCACCTTTCCCACAACTTGCTCAAAGTTGTTTAGCCGACTCCCTATTTGCTTTTCTAGTCTGGTCATCTTCTCGGCCGCGAGCTCTTCTTCCTTGGTCCACTGCACATCTCGATCGCGTCGAGCGTTCAACCGCTC